CCTCCCCTCCCCCCAGGCCTCCCCTCCCCTCCCCCAACCTCTTCTGCACATCCTTAAGCCACCTTGGATTGGACTGGACTTTGGTAGGGACGGGGAGAGTTTAGCATGGTCAGGCTGCTTCTTATACTGAGCTTTGGGTTTAGGGAGTAAGAGGCCCCATCTGGTGGGCAAAGAAGGCAAAAACAATTTTAATTAATTTTTGTTACTTTTCCCCCCTCTATAGGACATTTAGTATATATGTTGTTAGATTTAAGTTTGCTTTTATGTTAAGAAAGTCCTTCTCACTATCCAGTTATAAACTAGTCACCTAAAATGTTAGTGTGTTTATTATTATTATTTACACATAACTGTTTAATCCATATAAAATTTGTTTTGCTGTAATGCTGTATTTTCCAGATAACCATTTTTTCTAACATTATTTATTGAATGATTCCCTCCTTTGTTGGTTCGGATGCTTCTTTAGCTTACATTAAGTTTTCATATGTTCCAGAGTATATCCTTCAGAGATATTTAATTCTTCAATTTGTTTACACTTTTGCCTGTTTTAAATTTTCAAAAATTGTTGTACTTTTACAGTAATTTTAATATCCAGATAGGCAGGTCTTTCCTCATTACACTGTAAAATGTGTAAAGTATTTTTCATTTTTTCTTTTGGAAAACGTTTAGAAACATTTTTCAAGATCCAAAAAATAGGATTAAAATTTTAATTGAAACTGCTCTAATGTCCCACTATTTCTTCTGGTCCCTTTCTGTATCTCTCAACATCCTGTTTTCTTAGTTTCAAAATTTTTTCCCTATAGATTTGGTGAATTTCTTAGGGTTATCTGTATCATAGACTTTCCATTATATACTCAAATTGATCGTTGCTGACATGTTAGAAAGTTAATGGAATTTTGAATAATTACCCTGTATTTGGCCATTTTCTTGAACTTGCCGATTGGTTTCAGGAACTTTTTAGTTTCTTTTTAGTTTTCAGGGTAAGATACCATGTTACGTATCACAATATGTTGTTTTTCTCCTTCTTTTTAGTAGTTATACCTCTTCTTTCAGTTTCACATCTTATTGCATTGGTAAGAATGTATATAGCATGGTGTTAATTTTTAATGATGACAGCAGGCCTCCTTGCTTTGTTTCAGTAAATCCAATTTTCTGATGATAATAACACTCTGAAGGAAGGATGGGTTGAAGGGAAGAGTGGTGGTACTTATAGAAGGAAGACATGTTCTTACAAGCTGAGAATTCGTGTAAGGGAAACATACATGTGATTTGTGTCATGCACAGATTGGAAGGACTGCGGTCTGTAGAGGCCATAAGTTGCTTATTTTGTCCCTTCTGACTCCCATATCTTACCTGCAATCATCGGTTGGGTCTCTATGACTTAGACATTTTTTAAAATTTCACCTAAAAGAATTGTAACTTAATACATTTAATGATAACAGAAATTGTAAAGATATGAGTTTGCATAATGGAATAAATAAATGCAATTTGCAAAATAGTTAACTTAAACGTATATACAGCATACAAGTAATATGCAGTGTGTTTCTGAGGCTTATTTTTAACACTACTCATTAGGAAAAAAACTTGTCAAATCCTTTGCTAATTATAACTAAGGAAAATGACCGTTTTCTTTTTTCCCCCCATCATCTTGGTAGAACATTTATGTTCCTGTGTATCACACAAGTGTGTGCCAGGATGCTAATTCTTTGTACTTTGGATTTAGAGCTAACTGCAGGGCATTCTAAGTGTCTGGTACTCTTCAAAGTTCACATTTAACTATGGCCATTGTACAAAACAAGTGCCAGAAACTTACTGCAACTCCAGAAATAAATCCTCTTACTTTGCTGTGGTCTCTTTCTCTGTGGTCTCCTCTGTCTAATCACTTTGTGCCACAGCTGCGAAGGTCTCCAGAAACTTACTGCAACTCCAGAAATAAATCCTCTTACTTTGCTGTGGTCTCTTTCTCTGTGGTATCCTCTGTCTAATCACTTTGTGCCACAGCTGAGAAGGTCTCCGCACCTTCCTCTGAGATTTGGGGAGAATCTGTGAGTAGGGATGTGGAAAGAGAGCAGCTCCCCCACCAATTTCATGTGCTCAAGAAGGCTTCTCACTGCCCGTAGGAAGTGACTCTGTGGTGGCACATGTGCCTTGCTGCTGGTTCCCCGTCTTTTGACCACCACTGATCCCCTTTCTTCCTGAAAGCTCCTCTTCCCCAGCCTCCGTGCAGCAATGCCTCCTATGACTCCCCAAGGTAATTTTCCCTCAGCCAGCAATTTTCATTCCAGAATTTTTAGCCACAGCTCCCAATTGTGTCTCAGATTCCCTTTCCTTGGGTCCTCTTCCCTGCTTGTCTGATAAATCAGTCTGTTCCAAAGGCCGTGAGTGATGAAATGCCTCCTAATTTTCCTTAGGCTGCATTTGTACTTTTGGTGTCAGAGGGAGTAGGAGGCTCGAGCCTTACCCACAGCCTAATGAGGAGCACAGAGGATTTGGTTTCCCTTGACATCACATCCTCAAGCACTTAGGGAATGTGGGTACGCTCCTACATCTAATACATGTCCATACAGGAATATGCCCGCATGGTTCTCAGCTCTCCAGACACTCATTCTGCACTGGTACATGGTGAGTACCAATGTTAGCTCTCCCTGCAGGGATTATGTAGGCTGTCTTCTGTACAGTGTGTTCTGCAGACATTTACATCCCAGTAACTCTCTTTTGCTCCCCACCCTTCACCTCTAGGCAGCCAGGGGAAGGGAAGATGACACCACACTCTTCTCCAGCACCTGTTACCACATCTCAGAACCCTTATTAGCTGAACGTGTCTCCCCAGGTCTGACCTCCATTCTCTCTGCTGCAATGTCAGCCTAATTTAGTTTTTCTGGTTGTGGTTCCCCAAATAATTTCCAAAATGTGAGATTACTTTATTCTCTTATGTTACATTTGTCCAGGGGAATCCACCAAAATATTTTTAAATTGTGGTAAAATACACATAACATAAAATTTACCATATTAACCATTTTTAAGTGTATAGTTTAGTAGTGTTAAGTGCATTCACACTGTTGTGCCGTCTCTAGAACTCTTTGCATCTTCCAGAACTGAAACCGTATCCATTAAACAACTCCCCACTCCCATCTCTTCCAGATCCTGGCAACCACCATTCTACGTCTATCTCAATGAATTAGGCTACTCTAGGGACCTCAAGTCTTTTTGTGGCTTGCTTGTTTCACTTATCATCATATCCTCAAGGTTCATTCATGTTGTAGCATGTGTCAGAATTACCTTCCTTTTTAAGGCCACATTTTGTCTGTCCATCCAATGATGGACGCTTGGGTTGTTTCTACCTTTTGGCTATTGTGAATAATGCTGCTACGAACTTGAATGTACAAATATCTCTTTGATGCCCTGATTTTATTTCTTTGGGGTATATAAGCAGAAGTGGAGTTGCTGAAGCATGTGGTAATTCTGCTTTTGAATTTTTGAGGAAGCACCCCACTACATTCCCACTGACCGTGCACAAGGGTTCCAGTTTCTCCTCATCCTCGTGGACACTTATCTTCTGTCTGTTTGTTTGTTTTTCTTACTTTGGCCATCCTAATGGGTATGAGGTGGTGTCTTACTGTGGTTTTGATTTCATTTCCCTGATGACTAGGGACATTAACCATCTTTTCTTGTGCTTATTGGCCATTTGTATATCTTCTTTGAAGAAATGTCCATTCAAGTCCTTTGCCTACCAATTTGTTATTTAGCATTGCCTTTCTTTAGTACCACATGTGTTTATATGTAGTTTGTATTTACTAGGCTAGCTCACATTACCCTTACTTTGTCACATTAACGTCATCTGAGGCAGGCTGCCTCCAGCCTGCAGATCATGTCTCCCAACCCCTGCTTTTCCTGCCCTCTGCGCAAACACTAAAGGTTAGTTTCCATGCAGAAAACATAAGTTACAGATGAAGGATTTATGAAGATGGTGTGTCTATCGAAAAGAGCCCGAGATCTAGGGACACTCTAACTTCTCTCCCTGGGTTAGCTGCCCACTCGTTGCATGACTTGTAGCAGGTCCCTTAATTACTTTAGTCCCTTCATGAAAATAGGGTTTTTATCGGCACTGTCAAACTCACACAAGAGTAGATAAAATTATTTTAAAGGGAGTGGAGAGAGACGATTGATCCTAGAATCTGAGCATTGGAAAATATCTTAAAGGTCATTTAGAAAAATGCCTGCCCTTCCACCCCAAAGCTTGACGTGCTTCTTTAACCTGTTAGGAGTCTTCACGAGGTTTGAGGACGCTACTCTAGAAAGGCTAGATGGTTTTATGATTTTTGCAAAGTAACATACATGAGCAGATGTAGTTAAGATCTGGTAAATCTGATTCTCATGAGCAAATTGTGAGCCCGTGGCTTCCTCCTGCCCACTCTCCCTGGTGCTTGCCCTCGCCTCTCTTGGGGGAGGATGTTTATTCCAGGCATCCGGAGAAGCATTGTGCTTTGTTCAGGATCCACCTGCTCCTCTCTGGGCCCAGACACAATTCACTGATGCTGTTGGATTCCAGAGTGGGAGGCCAGCCGCTATTATTCACTTGAATTTAGTCCAAGAAACTAAGCAAGGGGTGGGGGGCCGTGTGTGGAGGCCCAGTGGGGTATTAAGTTAAACAACAGTTCTCTGAGTTTTTTTGTTTGCTTGGTGCTATGATTAGTGCTGAGTGGGTTCAATATTATGTAAGGTACACACCTCCTCTCCCCTCCTCCTCTGCTTAGGAGACTTACAGTCTGGTCAGAGATAAAAGACAGTAACAATGAGGCGGAATATGATCAAAATGTGGGTTCTGGATGATATAGTATATAAGGAATAGCTATTATTAATAATAGTAGTAATAGCTGCTGGTTATCTAGTGCCATCTGTCTGGGTTCCTGATAGCATATTGGACACTTTTCATACAATATCTTTTTAGTCACCACAACAACCCAGCTTACAGCTGAGAAACCTGGCACTCAGACTGGTTGCATGACTTGCAAAGAATCTAGTAAATAGCAGAGCAAGGATTGATGACCATTCTGGTTGAAGACAAGACCAGCTTCACTGAGAATGTGGGATTTGAGTTGAGTCTTGAATGGTAGGGAACGCAAGGGAGAAGGCCGTGTTCTCCGTTCTGCTTGTAAGTAGCGTTGTGAAACAGTGCGCGTGCTCACACCTGGGCTTCCTGGTGGCAGTGCCTTGGTTTGGAACATCTTTCCCACTAGCTTCACCTACCCACATCCTACTTGTCCTTGAAGGCCTATTTTGAGATGTTTCTGCTAACTCCAAACCAGAGGTGCCTTGCCCTCCTTTGTATGTCTATAGCAATTCGGTTGTACCTTTCTATGGTACTTAGCATGTAAATAGCTCCATGACCTCTTAGCTATCCTACTTGTCCTTGAAGGCCTATTTTGAGATGTTTCTGCTAACTCCAAACCAGAGGTGCCCTGCCCTCCTTTGTATGTCTATAGCAATTCGGTTGTACCTTTCTATGATACTTAGCATGTAAATAGCTCCGTGACCTCTTAGCTTCGTTGTCCTCAGTTTCTTCCTCTATAAAAAGAGGGGCACAGTAGTACCCATTGCATGGGGTTGTGTGAAGCTTAAATGAATCAATATGCAGAAAGCACCTAGAACAGTGCCTGGGACACAGTAAGCATCATTTATTTTAATTGCCATGCACACAAACTGAGAGCTTTGACCATATGGAATTCATAGGTAATCCCCAACCCCCCCCAACGTGTGACACATAACACGCACACACATAAGACACGCACAGAGGTTTTCACCCAGTGTCTTATATTCAGGGCTTGATAAATGTCAGAACAGCTGAATATTGTAGAGGTACAGCTTCTTAGGACTCACCAGGTGGAGGAAGGTGCCTTTTGTTCGGCTAATTTAGATGCTGCTGTGGGAGCCCTGTCCCTATGCCTCTCTCAGGAAGCAGACATATTTCAACCTGGGACACTTCAGCAGCACCGAGTCACCCAGGCAGGGACTTCCCTCCTCCGCATCTGGAAGGTATGCTGCTGGGGAGGGCGTGGTGCTCCAGGAAGCCACGTAAGGCTCTCCTGAGAGAATGGGTCGAGAGAGGAAGGAGACTGCTGGTTGTGTCCAATGTGGTGTCCAGACTACCTACTGCAAATGCTGTTTTAAAGAACTCGATTTTTCCAGAAGCAGAACCTCTATCCAAGGACTTACCAGGAGATCTGTAGAACTGATCCTTTTCCTGAGGGATGTACAGCAGCTGTCTGAAAATTTATTTCTCTGTGACCTCATCTCTTGCGGGTTTTCTGAGGCTACTGTTGGACTCATGTCTCTGTGACTTGGAGGTTGGCTAGCCATGCTCTTCTGGCCTCATCTGAGGACAGTATTTTCCCTCAGCTCCCTCAAATTCTGGCTTATAGAAGAAAGCTGGGGCCCAAGGCTGAACTTGACCTTGCCTTGCACAGGAGCAAAGGAGCCTAGGTTTTCCTGCCTCAGGTGACAGCAGAAGGAAAATACCCAGGCTCCATTCCAGTGGGGAGGACCATGGGGCCCTGCCACGCGGAGCAGTCCTGCCCACAAACAGGAAGCTCCTGCGTGAAGGTTCAGTTCTGGCGACTGTCACACGCCCCAGCAGTTTTCCCCGAACAGGAAGGTTGTCAGAGCTGTTCAGGCATTTCCTCCTCTGCCATCTGCCATCCGGACCGGGGACAAAGTCTTAGTTTCGGTTCTTTTCCTGTGCAGGGGAGGTCACTCTGATTGGAGGCTGCTGGAACAAATCCTGAGAAGTGGGAGAACAGGGTTTTGAATGGCATAGCCAGTGCTTCCAATTCATACCTTTCCTGGGACTCAATTGTTGAAGAATTAGAATTTTTTATCTAATTCTGAGTTTTTGAGCCCTATGGACCAGTCAGCATTCTGGAGAAAGATCTATGAACTTCATTCAAACTGGGTTTCGTGCTTTTAATGGAAAAAGAGGATGGAAAACTGGAGAAAAACACCATTTCACTTTGTGCTTTGCAAGACGTCTTTGGATAGCAGGAGGGAGAAAGCATCTGAGGACGCTGTTGAGTTTATAGTCTGACTTTTGTTCTATATTTCTCACCTCTCTTGGCTTTTCTTCCAACTTTTGGGGCTTTTGTAACCTTGAAATAGAGGATTTTCTCTTAGCTGTTATTGCATTATTAATATTTTCTGTTGTTGGCAATTTCTTTTGACTTTAATTTGAATAGCATATGTGTACATGGGCAATACTTAAATGAGATACTCTTTCCTACATTTGTTCTCTGATGTCTTAGACACTAATAAACATTTGGGTACTGGAAAATTTTTGAGTTTTTTCCTTATGTCGCACCTATGTAGTTAGCAGTATTTTTTTTTTTCTTTTAGAATTTTAGAAAGAAGGATCCTTCTTGTGGAGAGGATAATAGTGTGGTTTTAATCATAATTATTGCCTGAGACTCTGGATGCAGTTCAGAGTATACTAGCAATTTCATCTCCTGCTCTCTATTTTTCTTTGTCTTCCCAGGAGGACTTTAAGAAAGACAAAGGAGAGGCCCTGATTCAAATACTGTGTGGGAAGGAGCAGGCTGACCCTGAGGCTGAGGCTGGAGGTTGCTCGTTGCCCTTTGCCCAGTCTGAGGTTACGTCTCAGTGTCTGCTGCTGGTCTTGGCCAACAGAACGGGTAAGGGGCACATCTGTCTGGGGGGCTTGAGAGGGTTAGGCTGAGGTTAGATAGGGCTGAGGTTAGAGGATCCTGGGTGGAGATCAGGCATCTCAGCTCCAGAGACTGTAAGTGCTGATGAGAAGGGCTTGGCTCACTATGCGAGAGGCCCTCCTGAGATGGACCACCCTGGCCATCAGAGCATCTTCTGGAAAAGTGTGGGAGGGTTTAGAGTGGGATAAGCTGTTCTAGCTTCTAGATCTAACAACTCCTATTTCTAATTCTAGAACTTTCCAGAAAACTCCAATTGATGAAAGGACATCAGTCTGACCTGAGAAAGGTAAGCTCTCTGAGATGATGGTGTCAGACGTTCTAGCTTCTAGATCTAACAACTCCTATTTCTAATTCTAGAACTTTCCAGAAAACTCCAACTGATGAAAGGACATCAGTCTGACCTGAGAAAGGTAAGCTCTCTGAGATGATGGTGTCAGAGGGAATACTGGGTCCAGGGAGTTCACTGGAGTGGGCAGGAAGTAATGACCTTCTCCAGTCCTACCCTTCCTACCTCTCCATTTTCCCTGACAGACTTCATCTTTCTATGCTTGAACTAAAAATTTTATGGTGCAGCTTAATTAAGAGATGTCAGTCTTAAATTCTATTTCAGAAAGCCCTGAGGTCAATGTCCTTTTGTGTGTGTTCACTGTTGAGTCACACACGGGGGTCTAGAGTGGGCTGAGTTCCTCTAGAACTGACTTTCCACAAGGGACAGGCAGTCTTTTCTGTGCCTTCTTTTCAAGCTGGGGATCCAAGATTTTACTGCACAAAATGTCACGAGCCACCAGAGCCATACCCGAAAGACCCTGATTGCACTGGTCACTTCAGGAGTCCTGCTGGCTGTCTTGGGCATCACCGGCTACTTCCTGATGAACCGCCGCAGTTGGAGCCCTACTGGAGAAAGGCTGGTCAGTTCTGGGGTCCAGGGCAAAGGAAATGAGGATGATAGTGGTCTTCTGGGGAGGGCCATGGCTGTCCTAGAGAGGAAAGAGAAATACCAGAAAAGGCACTTCTGGGACCTCATATAGGGATGTGCAGGCACACACAAGCCATATCCAGGGGAGATTCAAAACAATAGATGGCAAATTGGGGCAGTCGCTGGGGGCAACCCAGCTACTCACTGTGGTGGCAGATGATTCATATCATCTATTTGTTATGTTTCCTGGGATAGTTCAGCTGGGTATAGCCAGAACAGGCTGCTAAATCAGCCACATTGATTTGCAAGCATATTAAATACCTAAGGGGTGCCACCTTGCTCACAAGAAGGAGACATATGATAGGAAAATCTACTCTTGAAGTGTTCTGGATGAGGGAGGACAAGGCTGAGGTTTGGCTCTTGGCCTCTGGCCTGTTAACCTACTCTGGGGAGGTTATTCCACCCCTGGGACTGCCTGTTTTCTTGCGGGAGCCGGTTACTGTGCTGTGGTGGCATGGTGTGGTGCCTCTCTTCTGTCCTTTCTCCTCTAGGAGCTGGAACCCTGACTGCTCTTCAGGAAGAAAGGCGTCTGCACATGCTGCACCCTCCCCCCTCCCTCCCCTGCTTCCCATTTGGGCCCCTCCCCCTCACAGTGTCTCCCACCCCTGCTTACCAGATAATGCTACTTTATTTATACACTGTCTAGGGCGAAGACCCTTATTACACGGAGAACGGTGGAGGCCAGGGCTATAGCTCAGGACCTGGGGCCTCCCCTGAGGCTCAGGGAAAGGCCAGTGTGAACCGAGGGGCTCAGGAGAACGGGACCGGCCAGGCCACCTCCAGAAACGGCCATTCAGCAAGACAACACGTGGTGGCTGATACCGAATTGTGACTCAGCTGGGTGGGGCAAAGCTGGGCAGTGTCTGGGAAAGAGCCCCTCCCTGCATCTGACCACATGCTGCCTCATGCTGGAGGTGACATCCCTCATGTCCTACCCTTTCCCTTGCACACACCTCAGAGGCTGTTCCTGGGTCCCTCCACCTTGGGGAGAGTCAGGTAAACTCCTGCCCTTTACACATTCGGCTCCCTGAACCCAGACTCTGGTCTTTCTTGGGTAAAGGTGTAATGGGGAAAAGCTCCCGGGAAGGGTAAATGGCCTTGCAGCATTTACACATGAGATCCCCTTCCCCTGCCCTCCTCTGTCTCATTACACGAGCCCTCAGGACCCCCCAGGGGAAAGGAGCCCCCAGGAGGCTTTGATTTTTACTGTTTCTTCCTTTTATGAAGGTACTTCAAAAAGTTCACAGAAAAATAGAATTGAAAGATAATAGGTATCCTTGAACCTTCTGAAGTACCCTCATATTTTCTGTTTCTACTCTAGGGAAACCAGAGTAGCCCTTTGCACCTGCCCCCTTATAATGATATATCCAGAAAAATGTGCTGTCTTAAACCACTCCCCTTATCCCTCATCCGAGACACCGTGGATTCGGTCACCAACTGCCCTCTTGCTCTCCAAGTTCACCAAGCTCCAAGTGGTCCCTTTATTTGTGTACAGAGGCCTGCACAGTGTTGTGGTGTGAACCTGGAACTGGGCTTCAAGTTCTAGAACAAAGAGCTCAGTGCTAGCCTTTCTGGGACAACACAGAGACTCTTGTTGGGCCCAAATGGATGGGACCATGGGACCAGGTCTTCGAGCTGATTCCGCTGTGCTCTTCTGAGGCATGCTTTTGATCTGAGGCTAGGTCCTGGCCTTATCCTCTGATATCCATGGCTTTCTCTTCCCTCCCGCTGACTTCGGGGTTGAGCCGTGGCCTCAGTTCTCCTGCAGATATCCATGGCTTTCTCTTCCCTCCCGCTGACTTCGGGGTTGAGCCGTGGCCTCAGTTCTCCTTTCTCTCCCTTCTTCCCCCACCTCGAGCCCCTTCACTGCTCTGCACCCGTGCGTGGTCAGAGCCCCAGAACATCTTCCAAGCACTCTTACCATAAGCTGCCTCTTCTGTGAGTGACCCAGGTCTTTGTTGTTTTTCCAGAGGGGTGAGTGGGAATCCTGGTTTCAATGACGGTTGGAAATAAAAGTTTCCAGAGATGAGAGGATTGGGTGGGTTTTTTTTTTTTTTTTTCTGAATAAAAAGTGGTGTGTGTAAATACTGTAATTAAAGTGATACTGAAACACATCTGTTCTTTGGCTCTATCTCAGCTGGGTGTGTCTGAATGGCAGAATGGCCTCCCCATCAGACCTGCCCGGACTGTACAATTTGGCCGGGAGGGGCTAGCCAGGGAGAAGGTTGGACCATCTCAGGGGACACAGGTACCATCCAGGATGCTAAGGACCTTTGTGCCAACTACTTCCCTCTATGGGTGGGGATTCCAGGTGAATTAGTCCATTTTTTGTTGCTTATAACAGATTACCTGAAGCTGGGTAATTTATAAGGAAACAAAATTTCTTACAGTTTGGGAGGCTGGGGAGCCCACAGTCCAGGAGGTGCCTCTTCTTGGTGGCAACTCCCTGCAGAGTCCTATGTAGGGTATCCCACAGCGAGAATGGCATGAACGAGAGAGCTAAGGTGCTCACTTGCTCTCCTTATAAAGTTACTAGAACCATCCCTGATAACCCATCAGACCATTAGCCCACTACTCCATGAGTGGATTAATCCATTCACAAGGGCACAGTCCTCATGATCCAATCACCTCCTGAAGACTTCACCTTTCAAATACCATGATCGGATTTCCCACCCTCTTAACACTGTTACCATGGGGGTCAAGCTTCAGTGAGTTTCGGGGGGACATCCAACACACAGCACCAGGGGAGCTGGATGTTTCCAGTGGTAGAAAGAATAGAAAGGCAGGCCTAGGGCTGCAGGGACCTTCAGGATGGAGGGTGGGACGCTGGGGACTTACGAGTTACATCCTTCTGAGAAGAAGATATACTTGAAACTGAGTAATTTATAAAGAAACAAAATTTATTTCTTACAGTTTTGAAGGCTGGGAAGTCCAGGGTCCAGGGCATACACCTGGTGAGGGGCTTCTTGGTGGCAACTCCCTATGGAGTTGAACAGCCTTCTGAGAAGAGGGACATGCTGATGGCTGCATGCAAAATGTTCAAGACACAGGGAAGGAGCAACGAGCTGTGCAGCCCCTGTCATCAGACCATCCCCTGCCCCTAGCTCAGAGCATAAACAGCGGAGGACTGTGGGGGACTGTTATTCCAGAGATCTGGCTGCCAACGCCAGGAGGGGGCCTGTTTTCCACCCTTAGGATTAAGACAGCAGCCAAACTGCAAAAGACCGTCTACAAGTACTCCCCTCTCCCAGCTTCCAGATGTCCCACCACCGCCACAGGAAGCGGGGGACGAATGCACCGGACACCACTGAGTAGCTTCAGGAAACACTCCCAAGTGTGTCAACAGTGGCAGAGGCGGCTGGAGCCAAACAAAGGTTGATTCTTCGATTCTTATCTCAGCAAAGCCAGACCTTTCCCCTGGCCACTCCCCACCCCCATTTCTCTCTCGCTTTTCTCCAACTTCTGTAATCAGAGGTTCCTCCCCGGGACTTGGGGGAGGTGAGGGGATGAAGTCTACAACCTTCTCTAGAAGGTGATGGCTGGTTTGGGAAGTAGGAAAAAGGGAAGATGGGCATTGGAAGAAATCCAGTTGGCCTCCATCTCATCACACATTTTGCTGTGAGAGTCTGGCCCAGTTAGGGGCGTCAGGGAGAAGGGGTGGGTTCAGGGTACAGAATCTGGGAAACATGGGAGAAGGAGATAAGACAACCAGGTCTTTGAACCACCTCCAGTCTCAGGTCTAGCAACTTATAGCAGCATTTTACCCTGAGCGTGTGGGAGTGTGTAGGCTTTGGGAGGAAGGGGTGTGTATGTGTTGGGGGTGGGTGGGGTGGTAGCTGGTCCTCTGTGATGGCAGGACACCTTGCCCTGAGGACACATTTGCTTTCTAGAAAATCCAGCTTTCCCACCTGAGCATCCCAGTGCAGCAATGGCTCCACCTGCTGGCCTTGCTGAGCTCCTGCCGCTCAGCTGCAGCTCAATTGCCTCCATGTTGGGTTTCTTGCCGCGGCGGCCCCACCCTTCACAGTCTAGGCCAAGTTCCCTCGTACACTGAGTACAGAACTAGAGAAAGTCGCTGCCGGGGAGGATTTAAAGATATATTCAATTCAACTCCATCATGCTCCAGCTCAAGACAAACTTGCCCAATTACCTGCAATTCAGATGTCCTGCCTCTGGCACTCTTCTGCTGAGCCCTCTGGCGTCCTCCAGTTGAATGTCATGAAGCCAGTGAGGGCAGTGTCAGGATAGGTTTGTGGCACATTTCACCAGCACGTGCTATTGCGGGCCTGGCCAGCCAAGCAGGTTCTGGAACCTAGAGACAAAGCTCCCAGGAGGCTGTGAGGCTCGCTGCCCTCTGCTGTGCCCACAGTGAGCCCAGGAGAACTAGCTATGGAGTATTATGATGTTCATTATGAAAAGCATACTGGAATCAGCTTCTGCCAGATTTTCATCAAGATGGATATATAGGAGTATCCTCTAAGTCTGGGCCTATGAGGGTATTTTCCAAAGTTCGTGGAAAAACAGAATTAAAAGATAATATGAATCTTTCCACGAATTTTTTGAAGTACTCTTGTACAGGTCATCCACATCCCCCATTCCCTCTAGGTGATACTGGAGGAGATGGTCTGGGAGGTCCGATAGCCAACCTCGACCCACCCCATTCTCCACCAGGTTCTTGACTCCACCACAGAAATGAATCTTTCCACGAATTTTTTGAAGTACTCTTGTACAGGTCATCCACATCCCCCATTCCGTCTAGGTGATACTGGAGGAGATGGTCTGGGAGGTCCGATAGCCAACCTCGACCCACCCCATTCTCCACCAGGTTCTTGACTCCACCACAGAACAGAATTCAAGAGCCGAGTCACAGTAGACAGTGAAATCAGGTTTAATGTAAAGAATAACAAATACATATTTCAAGGGGAAAGTGAGGCCTAGCTCTGAGACCGAGCAGTGGCTGCACCAAGTTTAATACAAAAGTAAAAAAACACACACTGTACAAAAGTACAGGCTGGCTCGAGAAAGGGAGCAGCAGCCTGTGAAAGGCAAGTTTAACATGAAAAGTATAAACACCATACAGGCTGTGGGCTGGCTCCAGAGAGAGTGAGGTGCAGTCCCACCTTCTTTCTAGATTCAACTTTTATAGCGTGACTATCTATACATATTCATGATGTCTAATGAATATTCAACTAAGGGGGTGGTGCCCAGTTATGTAACAGGTTATGTAACGGGTTTGTGAGTGCTCAGTTGGTCTCCTTTAGAGCATGTTCACTGGTCAAATTCCACCAAGTACACTTAAAATATTCCAGGTGCTGTCTAGAGCCTCCAATGGAAGGTCATTCATAGGATAAACTCCTTTCCACTGAGCATGCTCAGCCACTGCAATTACATAAGTCTGCCTCCTGTGGTGTCAACCTCCACACACTGGTGCTGAAAATAGGTACAACAAGGAACAGTAGTTCAGGACTCAGAGGAGGGGCTTCAGTCCTACAGAAGAGGTTTGAGACCCAGGGCAGTGGCCTGAAACCCAACCCCAGGGAAAGCGAGCACCTCCTATCTCATAGGTCGATTAGTTCCGTACTTCCTCTTCACCCAAACCCAGTGATAAGCAATAGATAAGCAATTTTGAGCAACAGGATGCTGCTTCTGTTCCTACAGCTCCAATCCAAGGAGTTCCCAGCCACCATTCAGACATTCAGCAAGTCTTACTGAACACCTACTATGTGCCAGACACTGTCCTAAGGACTGAGGATAGAGCAAATACTTAACAGAGCTTACAATTCCAGCAGAGGAGAAAGAAGAAAAAACAACTCTATCTCAGTAAATATATGCATATGTTTTCAGGTCATATTAAGAGCTGTGAAAAATATAAATTAGATTGAGAGGAATGGTTGGTATTTTATATATGGTGGTTGCTCTCAAGGAGGCAGCCGTCGAGAGCACAGGTTCTCTTGAATGAAGTGAGGAAGCAGGCTACACACTGCATGGGGGGAGATCATCCCACACAGAGGAAATGACAAGTGCCAGGCCCTGTCATACAGACCCACCAAGTGCAAAAAGCTCTGCACAGGGGAGGGCAGGACGGCCATTGAGGCCTCATCAGTGAGTGAGGGGGAGAGTGACAGGAGACCAGGTCACATCAAGCCTTTTAGTAGTAGGTTGGGAAACTGCTGGAGTGTTTTGAGCAGAGAAGTAGCATGATCTGATTTATGTTTTAAAAGGATCATGCTGCCTGCTGAGTAGAGAATAGAGGTAGAGGGACAAGAGAGTGGAAAGGAGACCAGGTAGACTATAGCGACTGTAACAAATGATCTTGGCTGGGAGCAGGTGACAGTATTGGAAGTGGGGAGATGAAGCAGAATTCAAAAGATGTTTTAAAAGTAGATGGAGCTAAGGAGACTTGCTCGGTTCATATATTCCTTCAAATACTTATCACAGTAACCATGATGGTGGCTAGCATTTCTTGAGTACTTATGGCATTAAAATTGAGACAGCGTACCAATATTTAAATAGTGTATTTTACTTAACATTTACAGAAATCCTATGAAGTAGGTACTATTATCTCAGAAAAAGAAACTGAAACTTAGTAACAAGGGACTGTGCTAGAGGCTCGGTGACAGAGGCAAAGATGAGTAGGATCTGAGTTTATGTGAACTCAGAGGTTTAAAAGTCTTGGAAGGAATACTACAAGTATATTCCAACTAACAAATAAAACTAACAAAAAATAAGATGCAAGACAGAGAGTGAGAAATAACACAAGAAAAGTCT